CGTTGAGTGATATTTATGTATGTTTGTTGAGGTATAGTAATGGTATGTTTGGCGAGAAAGGCTTTCTTTCAGTGTCCTTATGTAATATGTCATGAAATCGTTTGTGATGAGTTCGTACGTTAACAGTCGTTATGTTAAGTCTAGTGTATATGGTTATGTTGCTAACGTACCAAGGTGCTTTTGTAATTGTTCTGAATGTTTTTACTTGAAGGATTTTAAGTTCGTTAATGTAAGTCTTTTTAGCTGTGCCGTATATTTGTGATGCGTAAGTCCAAATAGGTTTCAACAAGTATGTGTTCGATTTCTGTTAGTTTTGAGTATTTCCAGTTATTAAATAAATTAAAAAATAGAGAAAGAAATTAATAATTAAAATAAAGTATAGAAAAAAACATCTCTTTACAGTTTAAGTGTTGTATAAAATGTTCAATTTTTATTGGACGAAATGAGCTTACCGATACAATTCCAAAAGAAGCCAATAAACGAGTATCTGTAGTAACACATCCATTCCTCAAAGAAATAATGATTTTAATGAGATAAAAATACGCGTTAGAAAGGGCAGTGCATTTAATTGATAAGTAAACTAAGTTAAGAATATTGTAAGTTACTCCGAAATCATTTGACAAGAAGAAATTTGTAATATTAACAGGCTTAAGGATGGTACACAAATAACTACCATATGGTCGAGGGTGATGCCGTCTCAATTACTTCACTCCTCACTTATTGATCTGAAGCTTGTGCATGAACTATGGTTGACGGAGATAGATCACTCACTTTTGAGAGATAAATTCTTGAGTCACATTAAAGGAAGTCCTGCTAGCGAAGGAAATAAGAAGAATGCGAGAAACCGATGAACAATTCAAGAATAGGAACACTGAAAGCTTTGTGAAGGATGGAAGGATTAGAGGAACAGGGAATGTCTCGAGGATGGGCAGAGAATTTTATCTCACCGAACAAGAAGAGGAAAGAGACCGTAACAATATAAGTGTCCATATGGACGCGTGACTGTTGAATAAAGCTGATTGGATGACCATTGCACAATGATGGATCATTGTGCCATATCTATATAATTGTAGATATATGTATGCTGAATTCACAGAATGGAACTCGACTTCGCTCCTGTAGTGTTACTTTTTCGGATGGTGATTGCAAAATTAGTAAGATACTCTTACTTAATTTCCTCGATACCGACTACAACCCAAAAAAGATTCTTCCGGGTTGAACAATATCTATATAAGTATGTAATTTTGTACCACTTTTTCACGTCGCACATACAATATTTGCAAAGTCTTGGTGTAGAGCTCATTTTAAAATTTGGCAATGTTTAGTATAAAGTGTTACTTACAGCAGTGATTTTTCATGCATAAAATCCCATTACTAAAAAATCTTCTATGACCAAGGAAAGATACTAGGAAGGGTAAAAATAAATTTTAAAAAACTGTACCACTGTAACCCTTGAAGCTCATAGGTTGTATACTTTATACGGTTAAGTTACTACTTCTAGGCTAGTGTTGCCCGAAATCTTGCACTTTGCAAGACCAAGACCAAGACTGGTAAAAAAAATCGATTTTTTAAATAAAAATTAATGCAAAATAGTTACTAATACTCGAAATTTTAGTTACTATATGTTAATAATTGGCATAACCAATATACTTTTACATTTAACTCCTTTAAGTTTTCATTCGGGCTTAGTAAGGCTTCTCCTATCTAAAAAATTACAGTAATATCTCTATAGTAATAAGCTAAGTAAACGCGAAACTATTGCGAGACTCTTGTGCAAGACGAAGACCATGACCAGGACTGAGTTTGCAAGACGAAGACTCGTCTCGGTCTCGCATTTGGGCAACACTATCTAGGTCAACGGTTGTGTTTGGTGATTTGGCCAGGATCACGCTCTGTCGCCGGCATCGATTCACGACTGATGTAATACAACGAATCCCACAGCCTTGGAGAAAAAGAGTCCATAGCACGAAAAATAATTAAATAGATTTTTCAAGATACGTCATCGAGTTGCTCAATGAATTGTAACCTATAGAAATTTAATAAAGATATGTAATTAATGAATATCATTAAGGGATGATTTAAGAGATCTAGGACGAAGAATGCCTAAGGCAAAGGATTGATGAAGAAGGGCTATTAGGGAGGTAAAACAAACTTTGTGGTTGAAAATTATACTAATATATAACTTTTAGAAATCATTTATTTTCATATAATAAATACACAAGTTCGTTTATTTTAATATTATGGTTAAAATTCTGTTAAACAGTAATAAGCAGATCGGTTGACCAATACCATTCAATGGATCATCTTAGAGAAAATTTTTTAAATTCTCATTGAAATGAAATTTCCTTGAGGAAGAAAATATATTTTCTTTTAAAAAAAACAGCGATCTCCTTTGTATCCATTCCTAAAAATGTTTTTATAAATATTTGATGTAACAAACATATTTTATTCTAGAGAGACAAAATATGATCTGTATAAAAGGATTAGTCAAAGAGAACACTGTTCCTTTTCATTCTTAGATTCATATGGTTAATCTACGATCATCACAAAGTTTGTTCGAACTTATTGACATTGTGTTGTTTTTTTTAAGAATCCGATGATTGGTACTGAGTTAATTATTAGTGTTTGAGTCGTTAGTCATTAAGCATAAAGAGAAGGTGAGAAATGAAAGAAGAATAAGTATATTGGCTGTACCAATTCTTTACATATAGTAACAAAAATTGTCATGTATTAGTTACTAGTTGATTCCTCTATTTTTATTCACTAAAATGATTTTTTTTTTCCCCCAATCTTGGTCTTGGTCTTACAACAGTTAGGAGGTCTTGGTAACAAAAATTCCAAAGAATTTGATCTATTAAAAGAATAATAATAAACTATTATCTTTCAACATAATAATAAATATAACTTTGTAAAAACTTGACTCGATGGCATTTGTAAAATCTACTATAGTAAATTGGCTAGAAACCATTCGTTACTTTCTAATTGTTTATCATTACATAGTATTGGATAAACATGATACATAGACAATTTAATTAATTATAAAAAAAACTTAATAATGTATAAATAGAAAGGAATTAACTTCCAAGCCCCATGAGTAAGAAAATATCGATCTGAAGTCATTATTTGTCAACTGTTGCTTTTGCCACTCCCTCCGTTGCGTAAATTCACAACCTAGAAGTTTCATTCCGTCAGGAAATTTAATTCACTAGTGGTTGTAATTTTATTCATGCATAATTTAAAGTTTGTTTAGCAGATGAGATATATTAATTGAAAGTTTAACGTTTAGCTAACAAAAAAAAAGAGGACATGTTTTTTATTTATTTTTTCTAGAGCTACAAACATATAATAAAATGCAATGGCCAAAATAGCAGAAATAATTACTTAAGTTGTCTTAAGGCAGTATCGAATGTTTAATGAAACGTTGAATAATAAAATACAAATCAGCAAAAGCAGTTCAGTGATAATCCACACTTCTTCCGTTCATTTTTTTTTTTTTTTTTTTGGAATATTCCTAGTTTTCCTTGATCTATTCTTTCCAATGGTTTGGGATAAACAGAAATGAATCAGTTTCCAGCCCAAGCCCCATGAGTAAGAAAATATCGATCTGAATTCGTTGTCAACTGTTGCTTTCACCACTGACTCCACTCTGAGAAAACTAACAACATAACAGCTTCATGTGGGTCAGAATTATTTAGGCTCAGTAGTTTTATAGCGATTTTGATTATAATAATTTATTGTCCGTGCATTGATGTTATGTCAATAATGGAGTTGTAACTTAAGATGTGCACAAAAGAAGCACATTTAACGCTTTTCTCCTCATTGAGAATTCGTTTTACTTGAGATGGATATAAACTAAATATAACTATGCCTCTAAATAACTATGTCACTCTCTCATTACAAGCACATACAAGATCATCTTAGAGATCTAGAAATGCTACAAAAGTATGACAATAAATCACGGATAGTCTACCACTTATTACTAGAGTGCTCCCAGTTCGAATAAAAATCAGACCAAAAATTAAAGTTATCTATCACATTGAAAGAAATATTGCGAGACATCGAATAGGATGTTTTCACTTAAACGAAATTGAGTATTAAAAAAGAATATAAAAACTTACCGTAATTGACCCTCTGGATTAGAAAATGAAAAAAAAAAAAGTGGTTATATTCCAAATCCCATAAGTAAGATAAAATGGACTTGAAGTAATTAGTTAACAACATTTACTTTTACCAACCAACGTTGTTGTTTTTTCATAGCTTCTTGTTTATTTTTTTAATTTGCCTGCATATTTATCTTTTAAGGAGATCTATATCTCATTATTATTTAAGCTAATGTCCTCGGTTTCTATTTGATAATTAGGTGATGGAGCTAATCCTTTTTTTATCAACTTAAAATCTAAAGCTAAAGCTAATATTTAATTTTTAAACAACTTTTACCATCTTTGAGGTGGTCTAGATGGTTTACATTTTTTCAGAGTTTTTTTTTCTGTCAAATTCGTAATGATTAAAAACAAATGTGTGCCATAACATGAAGTGTTACGTATTATCGATTTGTAGGTTAAAATCATTAGGCCCATCGAAAGGTTAGCAGGAGTTAAAAGTTAATTAAACGGTATGTTTCCTGCATGATGTTTTTAGTTGTTTTTTATAAAAGTGTAATGAAAAACCTAAATGCCAGTCAAAAGAAACTCCCAAATAAACAATATGTTTAGACTTCAATGGTAGTTTCTTCTTTCCACAAAAAGGAAATCTTCTACGTTTTATCAGAATTAGCCCCAATGTTTATAGTGTATTCAGTTCGTCGATTATGCAATCTGTTGTTTTTATGCAATATGTTGATTTCAGTTCAGAGAATGCGTAACATTAGCTAAGAACATTTTTTTATTAATTAATCTAATCACATAAATTGTTTGTCTGAGAAGAGCATCCTACAACAGTCTGGCGTAATAAAATAGAGTAAACTGCTACGAGAGTAGATCCTCGAATAAAGGAAATTATATTCATGCAAATAACACCATGCACCAAACAAGAAAAAGGCAACCCGAACAAGTGAAGACATGCTCGAACAGTTTGTTGCTGCGGGGGGAGGTGGGATGACGGGTTGCCATGACAACGCTATACTGACCTTTGTGCATGCCGGTGAACTTGTCCTTGAGGACGGTGAACTCGTAGATGTGGCCGAACTGCTCGAACATGGGCCGCAGGTGCTCCTCCGTCAGGTGTCTCGGGATCTGCCCCACGAAGAGCTTGACGGGCCCGTCCATCGCGGCCTCCGGGCTAGACGCGGCGTCGCAGCAGGCTTCGGCAGCGCTCTTCAGCTGGTGCGGAGGAGTCGTCGGGATCGGCATCTTCTTTTCGGTCGGAACTTTGTCTGAACTATACCTGATCAAGCAGTCTCGCATAAACTGCCAACTAACTCTAAGGCGATCAGGGTTATAAGGAACTGTAACAGTCTTTTCGTTAGGCCTCTTCACGAGTTATCACAGAGTTGCACTATTGCACTTAAAAACACTTATAAAATATATTACTACGACACTTTATGGGAGACACTTAACGAGGACAGCTTTTTCTTTCACACAACTACACGTACACGGGTTAAACAAGGAGAGGCGCGGAGGAAAAGGAAGGAGAACGCACAAGACAACATACGTGAGTTAGAGTGTGGCGTCCCCGGAGCCGCCCCCGACCGCCCCTTCCCCCACCCCCTCCCCGCTCACAATTAACCACCCCTCCGGCGGGGGCCTCCCTCGCAGTTACTACCCTGGCGGAAAACATCGCACCACGTGCCGCTCACGTGGTCACCTGCCGCTTGTGTTGAGTGTTAGCTATGTCACCGAGGTTCCCCCCTGAGTCATCAAAAATATTCCTTCCTTATCTCCCTCTTGCACTCAGCCTTGTGTGGACTCAATTCTTCTTTTCAATTTCAATAATTGTCATCAACGATAAAACGCTTAGCACGAATTGCCACAATCGTGAAGCATTTTCATGATAATCAAAATTTATTTCTCATCCATTCAGTGGAACGAGGTCGTAACTACAAATCATACAATCTTATAAGAGAGCAACACTCCAAGATTATTCTGAGCAGTGTTGCCCAAACGCAAGACAAAACGAAATTTAGCCATGGTGTTGGACTTGCTTCAGTACACCTTGTCTTAGTCTAGCGCACTCAGTCTTGATCTTGGTCTCGATCTTGCAGCAAGAGTTCCTATTAGCCTGTTGCTGTTTATTGAACACGTTAGTAATCGTAAAACAACGCAACAATGTAGGTACATTTAGAAGTTATATTGACATAGACATAATAAAGTCCAATCAACTTAACACAATTAACTTCACTATACTTTTTTTTTTTAAGATTATTTATTGAAAAATATTACAATCTGTCTCAAGGACATTTATAATAGTGTTCACAGATCACATTCACACTCTATGTACAGTAAATAAAATAAATAATACAGAAAAATAATACATATACAAAAAATAAGAATAAAATAACCTAAAAATAAATGAATAAAAAGAATACATACATATACTTTAAAGATATTGTCAAGAAAGTGATAGGTTCCCACCCCAGATGGAATGATTTTTTGGAGCGAACGGCTGGATCGACTTTAAAATTTGATGCGTAAATTTTTGTGTGTGAGATCCCCTCAGTGTTTTGAAACAATTTCAGCTCAAAATAGAGACCCGTTATTAAATAAAATGTATTTAATCGATTTTCTATAAGATATGTAACGATATTTCGAGCAAATGGCTTTATCTTATTAAAATAAATTGTTAACATTTAAATTCTATAAATATTAAAATAAAAAAATATTTGAATAAAAAAAACTATAGAAATTAGAAATTCCCTGCTTCCTATGGGAATGTAATATAAGGTTGTTTTTTTTATTTCAAATATTTTTTTATTAATTGAGTGGTTTATTCGATACTGAACGGTTCCCATCAATCACAGACAGCCAACTGCATATGTTCCCCTGCAAAAACACTCAATGAATCCGATGGTGCAATTTTTTTTTTCAAAATCGATGCTATATATTCATAAAAGTGGAATGAAAATAAGTATATTTCTGAAGAAGGCTCGTTTTTTCAAGGAATTGAATGAAGTTTGCATATTTCAAATATTATTTTTGAGCATTATTGGTATAATATTTTCTTCCCACAATAAAAGATAATTAGAAACGAAAAATGGAAACGGTCGCGTATATCTGCAAACTACAACATTTACATAACTAACATCTAGTATATATAACTATAAGTATAAGTATGATTGCACTAAAGAAAACAAAATAACTAGAATAGAAAATGTCCGTGATGTTTGTGGCTTTAGTGCCCTCTCTCATTTTCCACAGGCTGCCAATTCTAGTAACGCGTCTGGAAGAGAAGCGCTGGGATTTCCTCTTGCATTGCCTTTCATATTTCAATTTTTAGTTTATTAAAACGCATTTTTAAATTGAAGTTAATTAATTGGATATCCTAAAGGGTTGAACTCCATCCGTATGTTTCAATATCTTCGTGGGACGCTTTTTTATTGGATTCGCCATAATCTCTCTTTGAAAATTTTTTTAAAAAATAATTGAGAATATTCTTCGAAAGTGACAAGCCCACCAGAGAGGATTAGCCAACATTGAATCTGCATTCGGCGAAAACCGTCGGAAGTCTTTCCTCTTCAGAGTTTTACAGAGTGTTATCAAGACAATGACAGTTCCTCTCGATAGTAAAAAAACTCTTATGTGTAAACACCTTAACATACCAAAATGAAACGTTCTGTTAAAAAATAAAAATGAACTTCATACAGGGAAATGATTTTTTTTTATTAATCCGACTTGAAAATTAATTCTTATTTACGACATAATGGCCAGACATTAATGTCCTCAATAAAGTTGAAGGCCGGCTGTATAACCCAGACAGGACGGTAATGAGAACCGTTGGAAGCCAGAACGACATGCATGGCTGAGGTCGCATGCTGCAGGGGTATTAAGCCCGGGCGTTGGTCGAAACGATTTGTTTTAGCAAGTCGGCTCAACCCGGATCTCTCTTCACAATCAAGATACACACCTATCAATTTATTTTTCTTGTAAGCATTCAAAACAAAAGTATATTTCATATCATTCCCCATGTTTGTTTTTATTATTATTTCATTTTTGCATCCTCACTAACCAAGGCAGGAAAGATTTGTATTCATGGGGAAGTTAATAAAACTTCCATGTTCAGAATCGAAAATCTGCTTTCTCATTTTAATAATAATACTTTATTTATCCTGGGACAATTCCCTTAATGATAATTTACAGATATAGAGATGTGGACTTTGGAGCCTCAGAGTATAATCACAAAATAAAAATAATCAGAAAACAAACAGACATAATAAATAAAAGACCTAAGCTTCACAGATATATGGGCAGCCAAAAAGACTCACATACGTAAATTACAGACTTTTCAATCTAAAGCTTCCAGGACTATCATCAAGGCTCCCTGGTACGTCAGTAACATTACTCTACATAAAGACTTACAGATGCCAACAGTTAACGACCACATACGAACATACTACAAAAGATTTCATGATAACTTACACGGACATACAAAGTCATTGATTCGAGGCATGGCCACAACTAACATGGCCGATAGCACCCGAAGGATGCTTAAAAGAAGCTGGATGAGAGATCTCCTCCACTAACTATAAATATTACACTCAAGACAGGAATGGACACCGCTGGGTACTCCTCTCGCTCACGCCTAATCTAAGACCAATCTTCTACATCTTGTTATCACACTTGCTGATTGTCGGAACTTCTGACAGGTGTGAGTTGAAGAATCGAGTTTTAAAAAAATAATCAAAAAAATAAATGTGAAATAAAAATAATTAAAACGAACTAATAATTTATATACCTATTAACAACACCTATTTACAATTTTATGAGTGCAGAATGAATAGGAAGTGATTGAACAGACGAAATTTAGCGGGCGTGAACAGCGGATTTAAATTGAAGGAGCAAGGGATGTATGAACGACGGCGTGACTGGATGACTAGGAAGAGGAGGGATGCCAGGAAATACTTACAACGGTAGGAAGGATAAAGCTACTTAATAAAAACAATTGCACGCTTACAAAGGCGCCCTTGGAATCCGGAAGATGGGCCTTACAAAGTAATTCATCAAACGTTTTAGTTTCGCTTCGATATCTCAAGAGACGCCACAATATACCGTGCAGCAATAGTTAAAGGAAGTGTTCAGGAGTCCACAAGATTCAAATGGAAATAGATGGAAGAGGTAATTTAGACTTTTTATTACGTTTCATGTTGCTAGGGAAAAAAATTATTATTATTTATTTATGATATTTACAACTATATTAAGAAAAAATACATTAACTAAATATGGTAACAGAAAATAAAAATCTGGTGGGCGCAACACACAACTTTCACTTACCGCTATACTTTGAATAGAAATTATTTTCTGGCAATGCTGGGCTATTATAATATTTAATTTAAATTTAAAGTGCATTTTAAACGGAGCTAAAGCTTAAGCTTACTGATAACAAGTCATTAAGACCATTGTAGTTTTTTAGCTAGACTGCTAACATACAAACACACAGACACATAGACCATTATTCGGGACTTGGTTATTTGGACTAAGGGTACCCTAAAACATGTATTTCCGTTGAAAACTCCGATTCAAACATGTTCACGATCTCAATACTTACTCTCTCTATATATAGCATATATAGGTAAGTGAAAACATGGAAATACTTGTTGGGAAACTACCCACTGGTAGTACTTAAAAAAAAATGTATTTACAATAGGAGATCTCGAGGCCATCTTCTTTTCATTCGCCTCGGGGGGGGGGGGGGGGGGAGGTTATCAGGAATCGAGGAGAAAGCAAGTTTAGAAACGAGAGGGTTCGGATGGTTCTGAAGTTTATTATGGAAGGATAGGAATCTGGATTGGACCAATTCGGAAACATAAGGAACATTAAGGTCATTATAGATGATTTTATTAGTGACAAAGTAAGGCGCATTGAGTATTTTACGAAGGATTTTGGATTGTGAGGATTGAATACGTGAGGAATTAAATGGCTTTGTGAACCCCCAAATCTCAACTCCGTAAGTCTAAATAGGTCTTAAGTTTTTTTTAAAAAAAGGTACGTATCCTCTTTAGGATTTGATGAGTTTAGATTAATTTTAATACTTCGAGCAGATAATCGGTGTACTTCTATTCAATTCAAATATCAATCAATTTATTTTACTTTTGAATGGCTGAAGATTTAGTGTAGACTAATCCAAAGCAGTGTTGAACGATCAGGAAATAAGCCTGCATAGAGAGATAATTTGTGTGCCGTGCAGCGAGGCCATATCTACCCGCTATCTCGCCAGGCTCAGGTACAAATTCCCTGCCACCTTCCAGACTCTT